GGCTGGGGGAGGGGAGCAAGCGTACTCTGCAGGCCACACTCGGGTGCTGACATTGCTGGGCATGATGGATGCTGGCAGCGCTGTTGCCTAGCAACCCAATACCCTTCAAGAAAATCCAGCAGTCTCGCTGGCTTGCAGAAGCAAGCGGGGCTGGTTCAGCATGGCATTGGGCATGGAAAGATAATAATGGTTTTGTTCCAGTTATTAATAATCATTCCTCCTGATTTCCTGTATAGATCAACATACCTGAGGGTACCCAGAACCGTACACCAGGTTGGGGCTGGAAAAAGCCCAGGGTTTTTTAAATTACCTCCAAATGGGCTTCAGAGAGTAGTGGAATTTTACTGGCTGGTCCCATGATACTCCTTCAATCCCGGGGCCTTTCCACAACATAAAGGCAGATCTCCACGGCGTGACTCACCAGCATACCTCCAGATAGTTGTTTGTCAGCCCTGTCATGAGTCATGCTTTCTTCAGCTTTCTTTTTTCTCAAAACTGAAACACTTGACATTTTAGAATGGGATTGGGGGAAGGTTTTTAAAGAAATTTTTTGTCACTCTGTGGCTCTGTGTGCAAGCGTGGGGGTGTGTGGGAAGAGGTGAGTAATGGCTGCACGAACAGGTAAACATGAGTGAGGTTCTCCACGCCGTCAGTCGCCTGGAAAGCGATCGGAGTCAAAGAGGCAGTCATCTGTGTCACAGAGGGATGGGAATGCCCCTGGGCTACATCCTAGGAAGGACGATGCCTTGGTTATCATTCTACCTTCCACCCTTTCAAGCAACCTGCTGCTCCCTGCATCCCCCAAGAAGAAAGAGGTCTGCTTCATTCTGTGCAGTTTAGATAACAGGACCGTTGTAAGGCTTTAAGAAAAATCCTGCAGGAGTTAACAAGCAACAAGGAAAATTGGGATTTCAGACGAAAAAAGAGAAGCACAATACCAACACAGAAATTGTGTCAGACCAGGCAGATGGCAAGATCCTTGCGTTTGGGTTAATTGGTGAATTCCCTGATTCTGACATTAATTGGCTGTGTGATGAACTTCTGCTTCTTTTGCATGGCCCAGTAAAGTCTCATCCTCTCTACAAAGTCCTCAGCCTCTTAGACTTACCCACTTAGCACACGGTTTTCTCTCCTAAAATATGAGTGCCTCAAAGTCAAGCACCCCTTCATGCATCTCTGTATCACGTTAACCTGGCACCACATCAAATCGATAGTAGATGCTCAATGCATGCTGCCTGTTTGTAGGAGAGACAGATAAATGAAATAACTCATTAACCCACCCAATAACTACATCTAATTAACCTCTTGGATCCCCTACTTGTTCACGTGCTTAACCATACGCACTGTCTACTAACAGGAAAGTAACAAGGGTCTGGGAAATGTTTTGAATGTCATACAATGCCAAGTCATTATAAAACATTATTAGAAAAGAAAAGGTAGGGCACCTGGGTGGCTTAGTCTGTTAAGTGTCTACCTTCAGCTCAGGTCATGATCCCGGATCCTGGGATCGAGCCCTGAATTGGTCTCCCTGCTCTGTGGGGAGCCTGCTTCTCCCTCTCCCTCTGCTGCTCCCCCTGCTTGTGTGCTCATTCACTCTCTCTCTTTCTCTCTCTCTCTGTCAAATAAATAAAAAAAAAATCTTAACAACAACAAAAAAGAAAAGGTAGTGATTACCAAAAGTGTCTCCAAAGTCAGGGATCAAGGCCAATTCTACACACAGGTAAGCTGGGGAAGGAGAAAGTTTGAGCTGATTCAAAATACTTCCCCCATCAAGCGGGGGTAATGCTTGAAATTTCCAAAACATTCGCTTCTTTGGATTAAGACATTACCGATCCTTGTTAAAAATGTAAATGTTCTCTTGCAGCAAATGCATATTAATCCATTATTAACCTCGAGTGCTTCAGCTAAACTTATTAAGTCGACTTGCCGAGTGAAAGGGACGTAAGACAGGTAATTACTTTTTACTCTTTATTAGGAAAATGTTTAAACATGCAAAACCGGAGGCAATCATATAATAAACCCTTCTGTGTTCATAGCCAACTTCAACAATTATCATCCTAAAACCAATCTGGTTTCATCTACCGCCCTCCCCAAACTGGACTATTGTGAAGCAAATCCAAAACCTCTTCATATTTCGTGTGTGCATATTTCAGGACAAAGCTCCAAAACTGAAATACTGTTAACATTATCACAATATCAGTATCATACCAAAAAAAAAAAAAAAGAGAGAGAGAGAAAGAGAGAGAAGAAACAACCAACAACAACAAAAGAAACAGTAATTCCTTAACATGGTCAAATATCTGGTCAGTAGTTAGCGTTCAAATAGCCCCAAAGGAACAGTTCAGTTTTGAGGTAGAAGTAGCGTTAGGTCCAGTATATAACAGGGGCTGGTTCTAGGTCTCCCAGGGGAAGAAGGGGCCATGGCGTGACTATCATCCGTTTCACTGTTCTGTTTTGTTTTCCAGTTTCACGGCTGCCAAGAGCGATCCACGTAAGGGAAAAGACATGAATGTGTAAGCCAAAATATGAATTACTCTTCCTATCAGCAAATGACACTCACCAGCTTCCCCCAGCTGTCATAAAAATAATTAAGAGTTAGGTTCCTTAACCTGACAATACTAAGACTTGAGTAGTTAATCCCATTGTCAAATTCACCTGATTAAAGATAAGCCAGCTGTACTTGCCTGAGCCTCAGTTTCCTTGTACAATGGAGGCAGTAACAGGGCATACCCCACAGGGCTCTTCAGAGAATTAATAGAAGATAATGTATGTAAAGCACTTAGAAAAGCTCCTGGCACAGTAAACCCATAAGGAACATGAACTATTATATTGTTATTCCCCGGTCTTCTTGGAAATCAAAACTTGGGCAAACCGATGCTTGATGAAGATACTAATGGTCTTCTCATGGCCACCTCCTCTGCTTGACAAAACACTGAATCTGAAATATTTTAAGCTAGTGCACCTCAAAGTGTACTCTTCAGACCACCTGCACCAACATCACCCCTAAGTGATTATTTCAATGTGGATTGCTAAGCCCTCAGCAGTTCTTAGGGATGCTAAATCTTGAGAACTTCTGCCTTAAGTTCACCCAAATGTACAGTAACTTTCCGTTCAGAGGGAAAATGGGGTGCCCGAAAGACAGTGCAGTGTGGCAGAAGGGACGAGGGCCCCGGAATTAGGAGGCCAGCAGTAGAACTTGGCCATCCTCATTTACCTGCAGAATGGAACTGGTGAACTGGTAACATCTTCCTTACTGAGGCCATAGAGAGAGCCAAATGGGATCCTGAAGATGGGCAAATACTTCCCATTAATCAATCAATGTGTGGTATTACTTAGTTATGTTATTATCCCAATTCCAAGAACCTAAATATAGAATTCCTATTTGGTGCTTCCAAAAACAGACCATGTGTTCTAATGATGTTCATGACAAAGGACAGCATTCATGGCAGTCTCATTCATTCATTCATTAATAAATATTTATTGAGGGGCAATTCTTTGCCAGGAACCATGCTGGCATAAACCAGGGAGAAAACAGTCATATTCCCTGTCTTCTAAGCACGTAGAGGGCTCTGAAGTACCGCAGGACAAAGACCGGACGGGGTGGGGGCAACGTAAAGCTCACAGAAGTCAAGAGCTAGAAAAGGACCTTCACAGATACAGTTCCTTCACAGAACTGGTGAGAAGTCAGAGACCCAGAGAGGGGACATGGCTCCACATCCCCCAGTGAGAAAGTAACTAGAAAGGTACTCACTTCTTAGTTCTCAGAACTGCTCTTCCTCTGTGTTACTCTTTCCTGCACCAAGAAAAGCAAAGAAGTAAAACAAATACTGAGTTGTTTTTTTCTCCATGTCATCAGAATGAATCATTTGAGTTGACAGCAACAAAATTCTTCCCACTTAATGCAGAACTATTACATTTTTTTATTTCTCATTTAATTTAAAAGCAGGTTACAAAACTGCATACAGAATGGGATCTCGTTTTTGTAAAGGAGGTATCTGTGACATACGGAGAAAAATGGCTATACAAAACAAAGATTATCAATAGATATTTCCTAGGGGCTACGATTACGGACAATTTTTATTTTCTTCTTTATACTCCTGGAACTTTCTCAGAATTTTCTTAAATGTTCTACAAGGAACACAAATTACTTCTGTAACACCTAAAAATGTTATTTCAAAAATAACGTTGGGTTCTCTTTTTTCTTTTTAAAGTCCATGTGTTTTGCCTTTTTGAAACTAAATCTCACCTCATGAGAGTTTTCTAGAATCTTTTTGTCCAAATTACTTCCAAAAATTAAATGCAGTCTTCATTCTCCAACAAAAGAGATGTGGCATGAAAGAGTCACCTGTCGCCAGACCTCCTCTAAGATACACTTTGGATTTATCCAGGCAAAGACTCACTGTAGTCTTGAATTTGGAATCAACTAATCTACAAATATTTCCTGAACCCTACCAAGTTCAAGGAACAGCATTGTGCCCTATTCTCAGAGGTCAAAGATGCACAAAACATGATCAGAGTCTTCAAGAAATTTGGGATTTCACTGAGGCGGGAAGACATAAAAATATACAAAGTTTAGTAACAAAGTGTGATATTGAACAAAGGTGTGATATTGAAAAGCACATTGTGTTTTGGAGCGGCAAAGACTGTCCATCCAAGGAGCCATGGGAGCCCAATGGCAAATAGGAGACCGAGGGCAGTGGGGAGCCATTGAAGGTTTTTATTTTTTAGCAGGGAGGTAACCTAAGATCTGTGTTTCAAGAAGATTAAGGTCTGTAGAATGTACACTCATATTTGAACAGAGGAGGAAAACAGCTGTAATATACGTCAAGTGGAAATAAAGCAAGGTTTTAGGTCCAGTTCAGCTACTAATATGGCAACTCTGAACCTGTCGTTTCTACTACCTATGACTAGTTCCCTTACCAGACAAATGGGAGAACAGATTAGAATCTCTAAGCCCTGCCCAGCTGTCAAAATTCTTTAGTTCCATGATCCAAGCAAGAGTTGCAGTGGTGAGGAGAGGAATGGTCTTACTCTAGCAGGTGCCACTCGGACAGAGCTTCTAAGTCATCTCAGGCACCAACAAAATAAGGTCAGATACTCCCTTCTTACTCTTATTTTTAAGCCCTTGGGTGGTTTTGCAGCAAATACTTTCTTTTCATGTGTTCTAATGAGAAATAACTTACATACCATAAAATTCACTCTTTTAAAATAGACAATTTAGCAGTTTTTCACATATTCACAAAGTCGTACAAACCTCACCACTGTCTAAGTCCAGAACATTTTCATCACCTGAAAAAAGAAATCCCGTGACCATTAGCAGTCACTCCCCACCCATCCCCAGCCCTTGGCGACCACCACTGTACTTTCTGTCTCTGTCAATTTGCCTTTATGCGGACATTTCATATAAACGGAATCATACAATCTGCAGCCTTTTGTGTCTGGTTTTGCTCATTTCTTTCATTCTATTATCAATATCCACGTGGTAGCCTGTATAAGTTCATCCTTTTTATGGCTGAATAGTATTCCTTTGTATAAATAGGCCACATTTTATCTGTTCATCCATCGATGGACATCCGGGTTTTCTCCACTTTTCGGCAGTGCATTAATGTTATGCTCTTGTTTTTCAAGGAAAAGCTATCACAGGAGCTGCCACTGTTTGAATTTAAAAAGAAGTGGAAATTTGGGATGGAGGGAGGGTGGTCACTCCTGGACAGTGACAAAACCATTTTCATCCACAGTAACTGTTGTAGACATTCGTTCCAATGCCTTTTTCCATAGATACTGCAGGGGTAAACAAAATAATTGTATCTCCAGAGAGTGTGTGACTTTAAGTGAAAATTTTCAAGCAGCAAAGCCCATTCCATGGATTAAAAAATGCCACAGGATTAGGGGATAATCTTTAGCTTTCATGTTCTGCCAATGAGAGAGAATTGAGTTTGTAGATTCCCAGGCATGACGGAAGTAGTGTCTCAGCCTATGTGTGACCTGCTTTTCACTCTGTAAACAACCAATTCAGACCCAGGCATTTCAGAGTTTCAGCATTTCTTCTCCTTTTCCCACAGTCCAGGCTGTGAATTTCCTCACTGTATTTTTAGGAGCAGGAAAAACATGAAACACCACTGACCTGTCGATATCCGTGTTACAATGTAAGACCCAAGATGACCTTGTCTTTTCCTAAATCAAACTGAATGAAAAATAAATATTTTTCATCAATAAAATATTTATCCCGTTGACATGAGACCTCTGAGTTCAGACCTTCCTAAGTGTGGGGGGCTGAGGGGAATGGGAAAAAAGTAAAACTCAGCTGTATGTTTCCTTCTCGTGGTCCTTTAATAGAATTACAAAATTATCATACCAGTCAGAAAAAGAGTAGAGCATTTGAGAACTTTATCACTAAGGAAAAACATTTACTAAGCACCTGTTGTGTGCCAAGAGTGAGGAGTTCCATGGTCTCTTGTAATCTAATCAAAGAGAGAAGATCTAGCCATTAAAAATCACCACAGTTTGTTGGTGGCTGAGGGGAGGAGAGAATGGGGAGTAACTGCTAATGGACATGGCATTTCTTGTTGGCTAGACGAAATGTTCTTGAATTAGACAGTGGTAGTAGTAGCACAACCTCCCGCAGATAACAACCACTGAAATGTACATTTTTAAAGGGTATACAAATATATGGTATGTGAATTATATCTCAATAAAATAAAAAATGGAAATCATGATAATGACACATGGTACTATTAACAAAAAGAGTGAAAAAAACGTCTGGTGGTAGGGTACAAGACAGGTCTTCTTTCAGTCTCGGGTTGGCTCCCGAGCAAAAACTAGTAAACTTCTCTGCATTCGTTGATGCCCTCCCCAGGCTCTTCCCACAGGGCCCAGGTCTCCCCCAGTTCCCAGCTTGTCCTGACTCAATGGATGCCCCTGTGCACTGACTCCATGGAAGTTCTCGTAACTACTTTGCCCCCAAGGATGTGTTTCAAGTGAATGCTGCCTGGCTTACAACGTGATTTGGAAATACGCTGCTGGCTGTGTTTTATGCATTTTATCAAGTGTTTTTAACTTTGTACTAGCTGCAACCATGAAGGGCACAGTTTTAGAAGGTTGAAGTTAAATAATAATTTCACACCAGGAAACACTCAGCTGGGGCCACCTATCCTAAGCTGCCTAGGTGGTCAATATTCTGGAGCCCTGGAGGTGGAGTCACATCAGGAGGCTGCTTAGTGGCCACCTGGAGAGTTGGGGGCTGGATAATATCACAGTTGAGCCCATGGACTCTTGAAAGATGACTGGCCGTGTAAGCTTGTGCGTGTTCATTAACCTCGCTAGACCTCAGTTTCCTCTTCCGTCAAACAGGGGTGATCATATCTATAGGTACCACACAGGGTTTTGAGTAAATGAGTCTACAATGCTTGGAGATATGACTGGCATGCACTCACCACTTAATAAACGGTGGCCACTATTAGGAATATTGCTACTTCTTGGGCTGTTGCTGACTGTCCTTAAGGAAGGAAGGTGTTTGCCACATCTAATGTCTTTCAAGGAGGCTGGCAACCTGATTGGGCACATTTCAATTGTCATCCCACTTAAACTGTTGTACTCTAAAATGAGACAGTGAGGTTATGAATCCTGGAGGAACTTAAGTCAAATTCCATGATGGAACCAACAAACCAGACTTTTACATTCTGACATTGCTCATCAGCTGTAGACTTTAAACTGTTTAAGCCCAAGTGCCCACTCCTCACAGGTTCTCAGAGGCTGGTATGGGATTGTCTGTGTCAGAACCATGTGGGGTGCACTTGTTTAAAATGGGAAATTGCCAGGCCCCACCTAGAACTGCTCCCCAAGAAGGCTTGAGGGAAGAACTCTGCATTTGAAGGAGCTCCTCACAGCCTTTTGGGCATGCTGGAGGGTAAGTGAGAGCCATAGCACTAGATTTGGCTCTGCAGCCCAAGTGCCTACTAACAGTGCCAAGCACACGGCGGATGCTTAAGGCATCTTTGTCTTAATAATAGGGAAAAAAAGACAAGGTGCCTGGGTGGCTCAGTTGGTTAAGCATCTGCCTTCAGCTCAGGTCATGAGTCCAGGGTCCTGGGATCGAGCCCCACATCAGGCTCCCTGCTCAACAGAGAGCTTGCTTCTCTCTCTCCCTCTGCCTGCTGCTCTCCTTGCTTGTGCTCTCTCTCTGTCAAATAAATAAATAAAATCTTTTTAGAAAAAAGAAAACTAATGAAAAAAATTTATGACTCAGTAAAAATCATGGAAAAATAAATAGGTGGATGAATGGATAATGGATGAATGAATAGATGGATAATGAATGAATGGATGGATGGAAGGATGATGGATGGATGATGGATGGATGGAAGGATGGATGGATGGATGATGGATGGATGATGGAGGGATGGACGATGGAGGGATGCATGCATGGACAGATGAAACAGCCACGTGTATCAAGTTTCTTTGTTCCTCTTTATCATGTTGTTCCTGAAGAGGAAACTGTTAACATTTATTGAGAGAATTTTGTTCAGGGTAAAAGCAACATATGACTGATGCTAAACACTTAGAAAACACAAAAAAGCAAAAGGAAAGACAAATAAAAATCACCACTCAAGGGTTACCATCCTCAACACATTTGTGTAGTTCCTTCTGGTCTTCTGTGTGATGCATATAAACACAGGAGTGCTTAACAAAAATATCATCCTATTATAACCCAGTACTCTCTGAGCCTGCTTTCTTTAACTTAACAATGCATTATGAATATTTCCTCAACTCAGGAAATTCTTTTTCAGCATAATTTTA